AGGAAATCAAAAAACAGTTCGATAATAGTGGTTAAAATTTGGTAAAAAAAACACTTTTTTTTAATTTACTCAAGAAAGTAAATATAAAAAATAATTTTAGATATGAAACTTATATTTTTTAGTATTTGATAATCCTTTAACAAAAGTTATAAAACTAAATACCAAATAGTTTTAAAAGGATCTTGCTCTAAAGTTGGTATATTTTTTGTCTTTACAACCTCTATAAAATTAAAGCAATAATATGATTGGCTAAAGTGATTCTTTAAAAATTAAAGAAGTTTCTACTAAGTAAAGGTCTCTTTTAGTTTTAAGAAAACTGTAAAGGAGGGTTTTAGAATCTCAATGATAGTTAAATCATTCAAATCGGCTTGGTGAATCTCAAGATACTTGGGGTTAAAGGCGTGAACATAGGAATCTGCAAAGTCACTATTACACAAAAGACAATCATCTAATAGATAATTGTCCTTTGTATAATAGTGACTTTGCAGATTCCTATGTTCATGCCTTTAACCCCAAGTATCTTGAGATTCACCAAGCCAATTTGAATGATTTAACTACTATTGAGATCCTAAAAACCTCAGGACTAGAAAGACCTTTACTTAGTAGAATCTTCTTTAATTTTCAAAGAATTACTTTAGCCAATTATATTATTGCATTAAGTAAGTCAGTCATTTGACTTAAGGGTAAAGGGTATATAGATTATTTCTATTAATAAATAACCAAAAAATATTTTTACTGCAGATTAAAAAGTTGCTATATATAAAGGTTAATTTTTTACTATGTAAATCAATATTTATATATCGTAAATTGCCGCATAAACTACCCGGAGTCTGTTACTTTAAACCAACACAAAAACCAATTTAGACCCGAGAAAGTCTGCTATATGGAGAAGGGTCTACTATGAGGGGGGTCTGTTGTGTGGTTAAAGATAGTTAACCAATCAAAATTAAGCAACTCTAAGTCAGTATATAATATGAGTATAATATGTGACCACATAATAGACCCAGGTCTTGTACTTTTTACTTTTTACTAAATCCAAGTAACAGACCGGGTTTACTAGAAGAGGGGTCTTCTATAAAGGGGGTGGTTTATATGGCAATTTATGGTACTAAGTAGAATTGTTTACAATAAAAAATTACACATATTCTAAAAATTTTATTAATTTTGAATAAAATTTGATAAAGTTTGTATAGTAACAACTTTTGCAGGAGCAGAGTCTATTTTGTGGGGTGATCACAAATTGGCCAATCAAATCACATAATAATCATAAGTAAATTGGGATCACAAAAATAAAAACAACTATATCTTGTGATTAACTGGACCAATTTTAATGATTTGACTACTGTTAAAATCAGAAAACTCTCCTTTACAATTTTATTAAAAAATTTAAAATGGTTGCTTAATAAAATTTTTTTTATTATTAAATATAAAATTTTTTAGCAACTAGTTTATTAATAGAAATAATCAACATACCCTCTACTCTTAATTGATAATACATTTGTTATTTAGAGAGGATCTGCAAAATTTTATAAGTAAAGTTTACTATTGACCAAAATGTGGCAAGCCTAAATCTAAAACTTTTTTTTTACTAAGACAATCAATCTTGTCAATTAATTGAAAGTTGTAGAGCTCCTCAAAATGCATCTAATAGTGGTAAGAGCATCAAAATCCTTTAAAAAAAGTCTTTTTTTAAAAAAGAATTTTATATATATACGAAATATTTTTTAAAGATATCTCAAGAACTACTGGGCCAATTTTGACGCTCTTACTATCATTAGATGCGTCTTGAAGAGCTCTATAACTTTTAATTAATTGACAAGATTAATTGGCTTAGTAAAAAAGTTTTAGATTTAGGCTCGCCACATTTCTGTCAATAGTAAACTTTACTTATAAAATTTTACAGATCTCTTCTAGATAACAAATAGATTATTAAATAAAGAACATAGAGAAGAATCGAACAACTTTTTTTTTTTTTTTTTTTTAATGAATTCAGCAGTCCTGCCTTCACTTTATTAGGCTTTGTAATAATTTTCTAAACTATTAAAATTTTCTAAAAAGTTAATCTCTTTGGTACCTAAATTACAAGTAGAGACTCACCCGGTTGCTCAATAAGTACCTATGTGCAACCTGCTATAGTAAGATTCACCTCTGTATTATCTTATTCTAAAATTGGCTTCAATAATACGTCAACAGCTAGTTCTTACCACCTGTCAAAACTACATATTCATTTTTCACCAATCTGTACGTTTCCCTCCAGCAATCTAACCTAACAATTTTTTCTTAGTTATCTTATATACTATTTCAAATCTTGAATCCTCCTTTCTTTTCCTTCTTGATGCATCAACATGATTATCTGGAGGAGTTCTTTTATTCAGGGATTTGTCACTTTCTTCGCTCTCCTTTTTTTCTTTTCTTTTTTGCTTTCTCGTGAGGAAGAATCAAACAACTTTAGCTTAAGATCTTTTTAAAACTACTTAGTATTTAGACCTATAATTTTTGTTAAAGAATTATCAAATGCTAAAGAATATAAGTCTCATATTTAAAATTATTTTTTATATTTACTTTCTTGAGTAAATTAAAGAAAAGTATTTTTTTACCAAATTTTACATATAAATTTGGGTAAGTCAACTCATTTGATTTATATATGACAACAATTAAAGGAACATGTTCTGTGTTTGTTATTAATATTTTTATTATATATAGTTTAAACTAATTTAGATTAAATTGAATTATATCAAAATATTTAGAAAAATTAAAGTACAGTGATCCTTTTTCTATTTCGAATTTCAAAAACGAAGCAATAAACGATGATAGAGATAAATCTAATAAAAATGATGAAACTGTATAAAACAATTTATTAAAATATAATTTTAAAATATTCGTAATAACATATCTAATTATTTAAATACAGTCAGACCTCCCTAAATGCAACTCCTCTAAATGCAACCCCTCTCTAAATGCATGATAGAAGATTAGCCCCATAATGGGACTTATAGATAAATGCATGTTCTTTATTCTGCAATTGCACGCTAATTGTCTGGCCCACTTATATAAACTCCCTCCATGAATGCAACTGCGTGATTATTAGCCAATCAAATTCATCATTTCTAGGCTACTAAAGCTATATTTATTACATGAAAATAGTAATATTATGATTTTATTAGTGTTCTCCAATTGCAACCCTCTCTAAATGCACGCTTCAGAGCTGGTCCCGACAACGTGCATTTAGGGAGGTCTGACTGTATATACTAATTAATTAGGAGCTAGATAGTAAATATAGAATTAATTCGATCCATTTTGATAAGGTATAATATTTATTATTTAAAATTAATTTGAAATAATTTGAAATAATTTAATATTAATAAGTGAATAAAAGACCAAGAGTCGGTAAATAATATACAAATTTAAAATTTATCTAATTAGCAATATAGCATTATAATGCGAATAGTTGTGATTTTAATATATATATTCAAAAATTATCAAAGTTGTTGATTTAGATCTAGAAGAAGTTCAAGCAGCATTGAAAATTCAGTATCAGTGTTGTGAGTAGGCCATACATTATATATTTATCTTGGTGCGCTACTGCGCACATAAGCTTTTTTTAAATATATATAAAACAAATAGCTTAAATACATATATTTTGTAATTAATTTATAAAATAATAGCAGATAGTGCTAAAATAGATCATTATTTATTTATTTATACAATACAATTTAATTTATTAATATTTAACTAGCTTTTTTGATATGTCATATAACAAATTTATCTATTTTTTTAAATCAATATAAGTTTAATATTGATAAAAATTAAAGATATAATTTAATTCAATATGTTTTATTTTGATTATTAATATTGTATATTGCTAACTATAACCGGCGGTAATAATTACCGCATCACGTGATAATGCAATAATAATATGCTTATAGTGGTGATAATCACCGCATCATGTGATAATGCAATAATAATATTCTTATAGTGGTGATAATTACTGCATCACGTGATAATATATACATAGTTTCCTAATTATGAGTGTTGTTACCTTTTTATACTGTCAGACCTTACTAAGGCACGTTTTGACTGAAGACGCTCCATGTAGTACTAACTATATATTAATTGATATATTAAAAAAATGTGAAGACTGCAAGTGCCGGGAATGGTGCTATGTTTTAACGGCACTATGTCTGGCACTTGCAGAACTCTAGAAAAATTTCGAGATACTAATTAAAATATTATTTAGAAATACACTTATGCTAAATACCAACCTTAAATTCATGTAAAATAATTCTCAAATCTGCAAAAAGAATTAAATTGCCAATACGTATGTGATAAGCCATACAGATGCTTAATTGATAGAAGTACCATATACATACATACGTATATACATTATATAACTGATAATATTCTAGACTTCTAAATATGCTGCAAAAATGAAGCTACGACTCAACTAGGTTAAAATGTAATAATTATACTAAATAATAAATATTATTATTTAATACTGGTACGAGACAGTTCTAATACTGTATATATTATCAACCTAAACTAATAGTGAAATATAAGACTCTACATATAAAATATGGATCGATGGTGCTAAATACCAGTATATATGTACAATTAATTTCTATACTAACTATAAACTGTATATGTTACATATAAGCAGAAATTATAGTAAAATTGGATTAGAATTTACTTATATTGAACTACAGTATATAACTACACAAAATCTAACTCTCACTCTACCTCTAGCTTTAATAATTACAAATCAACTTAAAATTTTATTTCTTAGCTAAATTCATACATACCAATACAATATTCACGTGACATTATTGCCTTTAATATAAATTTTACATTTATGTACTATACGTACAATTTAATGCTATTTAATATTGTTCTATATATACGTATTATAAGCAATACATATTGTATAAAGGCCATTATTGTATATAATGCATAAGCATATTATAAGACAACAAAACAAAATCGCTACATACATAATTCAATTTTCACTCTTGAAATTTACATTTTCGGATATTATGTCCAGATTTGCTACATGCTTTACATACATATTTACGCTTGACTATATTTTCATCTACGATAAATGATTTATCAGAATTAGACACATCATCGCCATCCTCATCAGTATCATCAGAATCAGTTTTTTCTTGAATATGAATATCATTGCTATTAAGAGTGTGAAGAGGATTTCTAAATGCATATCGTTATTGCATTAATTGTATACATACATTTGTATCTTCATAATCAAATACATTTAATAAACCATTATTAGAGTTATCTTGGTTAGCCTTTTTCTCTGATACTAATTTTGGTGGACATCCATGTCATTTTTGAACAGAAAGATCAGAGATATTTGATTTTCATTATTTGTAACTCTAGATGTCAAATTGGGATCAGATGGGTTGATTGCGCTGTTTCCAGAACTACTGTGATGTGACTTCTCTGTTGCTGATTTAATACGTTTATTTGGTTGACATCCACGTCGTTTTTGAACCAAGAGATCTAAGACGCATAAATTTTCCTCATTGCTTGTGCTTTGTATACTACTTTTTTTACAGGTAATAAAGTTGCTTATAATTTTGAGAAATTTATCTTCATAATTTAAATCTAGAGCTAAATTAAGGGCTTTTTTAACCTTTCTGAAACCTTGGGCGTATCTAACTTCTCTTTGCACTTGTTTTTTTATTTTACTTGTAAATATATATTGTGGTCTGAACTTATTAAATAAATGTAAATCATTCATCATTTCTGCATTATTGTTTTGCTGAAATTGTGTTAATACTTCTACAGTTTCTTGTAATTTTAATTGACTATCTTGATCTTGAATATCTTCTAGATACCATCTTTTCACAATAAGATCAATATTAAATTTGGCATTCTTTGAAGTCATCATAATCTGAAAAAAATGTGCACATAAGAGTCTATGATTGATTATGGACAAACAAGTGCATATATGTCCACCATCATTTAACAAAATAACATAATGCTTATACAAATTCGTAATCCCGAAGAGCTCCCAGACTTCTACAATATCAGATGGCTGTATATCAACTAAAAGAGAACAGAGAGATGTTTGAGGCCTATCAAGTTGATCTTTAAGAAAGCCATCGTTACAATCCAACTGGTTAAGATCTTCTTTCATAAGACTAGCTGATTCTTTAAAAATCAAGATTGCACGATATAATAAAGATCCTTCAATTTGTTGTTTTTGAACAGATAAAATATGAGAAGGTAGGTATTTCTTAATTAGCTCAAACACCTGAATATTATACGTAGACATGCAACAAATAATATAACATAAGATCTACTGTACAGTATAACGATTCGGTATTATATAAAAAAAAAGTAATAGAAGAGTTATAACCTCATGAAATATTAGTTCAACAACTGAAAGTGCTTGATTGCTCGGGAGACTTTGAAGGTATGCATTATGATGAGCCTACTAAGCTTTATTGTCTAATAACCGTTGAACTTGATTATGCAAATTGCATAACGAAGAAGTGCTATTAGTGCCTTCTTTAATTAGCTTGTTCATTACTTTAACCCTTTGTGTACTTTGAATTCTGGCCGTAAAAAATCTGATTTGAAAGCACTTTACCCACTTTTTATAGCAATTGTGTAAGGTATGATTAAGATACTCTTGGGATTGAGAGTATTGTTCAAGTAGATGAGCCCAACGACATTGAAAGTCATTTTCATATAAGCTGTACAAGAATTTTTTATAAAAAGGCTCAAAATTTTGACACAGTTTACTTCGTAAATTTTTTTTTTAGATTCTCTTGGATATGAAACATGCAAAGAAAATGGTGAGTAGTAGGGCATTATTAATGATATTGCATTTATTAGTGCTGGCTCAGCATCTGAAAAGATGCAGATTGGTGGATTATTATTAGTTGCTTGTAGAACACAATTAAGATACTATTCATAACTCTCAGTCGGCTCGTCTTCTAACAAACATTGTGCAATGAGCCTGCTTTTGGTGTTATTATCTATAACAACTAATAAAGCCAAATATATGTCAAATCAATTGGTTCGACATGTATTATCTGTTTGCACTACATCATTATAACGCATAAGGTATTGACATTGAATAGGTGATATCCAAAATAAACCGACAAGTTGGTTATCAAACGGGTCAAGCCTTGTATTAATAATCAAACCAGGCTCTTGGTCTTTCAATATTAACAATTTATTAATTATATGCTGTGTATCACTCTGACGTTGGGTATAAGGTGCTTTAAATTTTTGAATAGCATTATAAAGGTCCTTCTTGCAGATAAACTTTCTGAAAAATTTGTGACCAATAAAGGATATATCTGTTTTGAACCCATATTTCCTTTAGTTACATAAAACTTAATTTTTTCCATTATTTCATTTGATAATTTGTGACACTTGGGATCATATAAAGCCGTATCAGGCAACAAAACATGATTATACTGATTAACAAAACTAGTGACTCTTATTTCCGGTGATAATTTTGTCATGTTAAGGTTTATATGCTATTGGCATTTAATTTTTCTAGATAACCGATTACGTTGATAACTTGAATCAATTACTTTATTAGATACTGGTTCACCAGCAAAACCACATTCAAATGTTTGACGGCATATAATCCCAACATTGTTGACTTCAAAATGCTTACGATGTAAAGGAAATCCCATCAATTTTGCATACTTTTCAAGATACGATTCAGCCAATTCCCATGAAAGAAAAGAATTCCCAATATTAATAGTAAGTTCCTCTGTAAAGTTAATATTATTATTTTGAACTATATTTTCCTCAACATCTATGGTGTCATTTTGAACAGTAGCTAGACGTTCCTTTTCAATATTTATAGAATCATCGTAAATAGTAGTTAGACGTTCAATATCTATAAGATTATCGTAAGTAGCAGCTAGGATCATCGTAAGTAGCAGCTAGACTATCTATAGGATCATCATAATTAGCAGCTAAGTAATCTTTGCCAACATTTGTAAGGTTATCTAAATCACCTTGAATAGCATTTATGTGGTTTCCTTTAATTGTTAAAAAGTTGTCTAAAATAGTATTTGAGTGATTTGCTCCAGCAATTATATTGTTATAAATGGTATTTATGCTTATAAGATCATCCCAATCGTAGGTTTGTTGGTTGTTTGCAATGTTTATACCATCCAAAGGTCTTCATGACTATAAATTTGTTGGTTGTTTGTACCTGCCCAGATAGCAGCCAAGTTATCTCCATCACTATACTCTGCGAAAGAAGTATTGTTTTGAAACCCTTCCAAAAAGGTAACCAGATGGTCTCCTTAATTATTATAAATTTAGTTACGTTTTTTAGTCTTTGTGAGCATAATGTGTTAACAAAAATTTTAACATATAATCGACATTAAATATGCAAACTAACCTTCCATTACTTCAGGTTATTGAAAGGTTTGTATTATATCACGTTTAGTTTATTCTTTTGTTATACAGGTGAACTTTATTAATTTCAAACGATCATGGGTTAACTTTCAACTAAAACGAAAAGAAAAAGAGAGATCATTTTTCTAATCACGTTTTTTTTTACCTTTTATTCAGGTATGTTTCGATTACATCATATTTCATTACAAACAATTAAATTCCTACCCCGCATATAAACAATAATACAAAACAATGATCGATTAAATGCAGTATAATATATAATAGTGGTGACAATCACCGCAAGGAGCATAATATTTAATAGCGGTGATGATCACCGCAAGGGCATAATATTTAATAGCGGTAACGATTACCGCCGGGGCATAATATTTAATAGCGGTGACGATCACCGCCGGTTCTATTTAGTTTAACTTATTATTAATATTAATTAAATATAAATTAGTTGTATAAAAAATATAATACACATCAAAACTTATTACAAATATGAATTTAAAAATTTTAATATGTGTATTTTATTTAGAATCTTAAAACCCATAAGTGCTTTGCATACATATTGTTGAACTTTAAGGTGCGAAAAATTTTTTTGACATGCATTCCGCCTCTTTTGCATATTAATTATCAATACTGAGTTCAAGAAGCTAAAAAAGAACTAGATGATGATGAAGATAATAAAAAAGATATGAATGATTATGAGAAAAATATGGATACTAATGAGTAAAAGTTTTTTTTAGTTTATTTTTTTTATATACAAATAATACTATCCCTTAAATTGTAATGCAGGCAAATTTGCCTGCAAAGATTTTTACTAATTTTTTTAACATTTAAATTTTTTAATAAAATTTTGAATATTAATTTTAG